CGAATCGCTGAGTTACAACTAAATTGATAAATACAATCTTTCCAATCTCACTTCTGTTTCCCTTCCCTTCCTCACAAAGTAATTACAGAATTACTTCGTGCAAAAATTGCAATTATCATAACGCTAATGAAGTCTATGCAAAACTGCTGCTCTGCCGTAGCTATAATCCATTTATCCAAATGCAACTGTACATCAATCACATTTGAATATATTAAAATACAAAGCAATGAGAACAGAAAAATAGTGTGTCTTAGTTTAAAGAGTTCCATCAGCGGTCCGACTGCATCGACTATATTTATTGTAATTTTAGCAGTCATGGCGCAGTTATCATTTCTTTACATTGCAGTCTCCAGCGAATAGCTAAATTCTCCTTAACTATTACAGTAAAAAAAGAAAAAAAAAACTTTTCCATAAGTTGCATCCTTTTCAATTTATACCAGTAAGATGTATTTTAGTAAATAATTAAAATATTTGATATCTTAAATTGTTCTAATAAGAATACTAAAATAGATCGATATCCAGATAATAACATTATACCTTTCATCAGGTAATATTTTAATCCTATTAACATTCCTAAAATTCATTAAACTTTTATTTTTGTCACATATATGTCACATACTCCACTCTTATTTTCAATGTTTTCCATTAATATCATCCATTTTATTGCATTCATTTCTCTCTCATTTCATCATTAACTTTTCTTTTGCCATCTTTTCTTGAAATATCAAAAAAAAATTATTTGTCATTTCTATCTTTCTCTTCGATTTTATTCTTTCAAACAATTAACTGTCACAGATTCCATTAGACATTAAACTTAAGAGAATTCTTTCCCTACTTAATGTTTTTGTTGTCATTTAAATTCAGCAAATAGTAATATGGCCAATTATTGTTTACTTATCCTTAAAAGTTTTTTTTTTTTTTTTTAAAACAAAAGCCTTTTTAAAAATGTTTTTATAAAATTCTTTAAAAATGTAATTTTTTTTTTAGCTGAAAAAATACCTATTTTGTCAAAAATTCATTGCAAAATTCTTTTATTTCATATTAATTTTTGATGAAAATTTTTATCATTTATCACTTATCTGTATGTAAATTTTTATTCAATTTAAATTTTTTTAACATTCATTAAAATTCCTTTTCCCTTTTTTTAAAAAATAAGAATTTATCATTGTTTTATGCTTGATAAAACGAATATTTAAATGGTTGAAAACTTTTAATAAATTTTGGTAAACAAATAAATTGAATGAGGTAAAATGAAAAAAATGTCAATTTTGTTTTGAAAAATTTCAATTATATTCAAAATATCAATGAAATCACAATACATATTAATAACATTCAACCATCTGAACACCACCTGACACAGCTTAATCGTTTATTAAATTGAGTGAAAAAAAAAAAAAAAAAAAGAAAAATTTGTTAGTTGTAATTGTTTGTTTTGTCGTTTTAGAAGCTTCCAATTTTTTTTTTTAAATGCTTGTAACAGAAAGCTAATAAACATACCATAGAAGTATGTCTGTCATCTTAAATTTTCAAAATTTTATCTTTCTAAATTTTAAGCTTACATTTTTAAGCTTTTAAGCTTAACTTTTATAAGCCCTACTTTCCTTTCAATTCACTAAAAGATCTTGTTTTTAGCTTATACTTTAGCCGCTTATTTTTTTTTTCCCTACTTTTTTTTTTTGTCTCCATCAATGCATAATTGTTTTCATTTGCATGACTGAATCAGAATTTCATATGAAATTTTGCAATGCAAGAAATGTCACAGTATGAGTGACAGGAAATTTCACATTCAATTTATCATATCATATCATATCAGAGACAGTTTAAAATATCAATCAAAAAAAAAATCAACAATTTTATTTTGAATTTTAATTTAGAAAATGAGGATTTATCATTTCTAAGCTGCTTAACATATACATTTAATAAGCAAATAACAGATATGTTTGGGTTGTTATATTAATTGAAGAAAAATTTTTTGTAATATTTAATTTAATAAAAATTAATTAACACGAATTTTTTTTTTGCAATATTTTATTTAATAAAACAATGTTTGGGCCTTTTTAAATTGTACTTATCCATGAACTTGAATGCATTATAGTTCATAATCATTATCACCATATAATATTTGATATTTGATTTTTTATTTAAATTAGGTAAATGCATAAAATGAGATAATATTTAGTAGTGATATATGCATTTTTCCTATGCTTATAATGATATTAGCAAAAAAAAAAAAAATTTTTCCTTTCAAAATGAAACAAAATTTCTTTTCAAATTTTAAAATTTTTTAGCAATAATATAACTTTAACAATGGTTTATTTGCATTTTATTTCAAAATTGGATGTAATACTTGATCCGGAAAAACGGAAATGTTTTTCAGTCTTACGTAATTTATACAGAATGTTTCTATTATAAAAAAGGGAATTTCTTTCTTTTTTTTTTCCTGATATGCATTTTTTTTGAAGCAATAAAGTTAGCGCATATAAGATTGAAATTCTCTTTTCAAAGTTAATTCAACTCATATTTCCTTTGCTCACACAGAAATGTAATCATGAAGAATTGTTTACTTATTTACTTGATTATTTATTTATTTATTTATTTATTTAATCTATTTATTTATTCATCTGTTTATTTACTTATTTATTTATTTACTCATTTATTTATTTACCTACTTATTTATTTATTTATTCACTTATTTATTTATTGGGTTATTCATTTATTTATTTGTTTGTTTATTAAACAATAAACTTCGCTGTACCAAATTTATTTACAACCAGAAATGAAATCATGAAGAATTGTTTACTTATTTACTTAATTTTTTATTTATTTATTTGTTTGTTTATTAAACAATAAATTTCACCCTACCAAATTTATTTACAGCAATGGAATCGAATGAATTAGCAGAAATAATGAAATGGGAAGCAAATATTCAACCGCCAACAATTGACGAATTGCGCAGACATACAAAAAATGCTTTTAGTTGTAAATACATCAAATATATGTATTCAAAGTTTAAAAATGTTTGTTTTATTTGTTTCATTTAAATAGTTACTTGCAAAAATTTAATTGAATTTTCGAATGGACAGAAGAGAAAGTAATCCGGAATATAAAAAAAGATTAAAAGATTAATTAATGAAATGTAAATTAATTAATATTATAGATGGAAACATTGAAGCATTAAGCATAGAAGCAAAAAAAAATTTGATATATTATAATGGAATGGCTTGATAATGATTTTCAATTTTTCCTTTCTTTTTTTTTTCGAAATAATCATTTTTAATTTTCAATATTATATCTTATCAGTGTTAACAATTTATATCTTATCATCCATTAATTATGAAATAAATGCAGGCATGTCCAACAGGTAGAATGCGTTTAGCTAAATTTAAGAAAATGTTTGGTTCGTATTTTCCACCATGTCTCGATGATGAATACATCCTGAGGTTATTTACAGCATTCGCTAATGGTAAAGAGGAAATGACTTTTCAGGTGCTAAAATTTTTCCTCTTTTAAATTTTATGCTAAGCAAAATTGAAATTAAAGAGTAAAATTATTTAAGCTAGGATGACATTAGCATGAAGTAGTTTAGTATAACAGTAATGTCATATCTTTTTAGTAATGTCAAAGTGAAAAAGACGACAGATGAATTGATTGTTCTTTTTTTTATATTTAATCATTTGATCGCTTTGAAAATTACCGAAATGAAAGAATAGTAAGTACCTATAGATTTAACGATTTATTAAGATGGCGCAAAAGTAATTGTGTTTTTTTGCGCTGTTGAACTTCAGCGCTATTTTATATTGCGATGCATTTGCAAGTAAATTTATCCTTGTCTTTTTTTTTTTTTTAAAAAAAAAAAATTTATTCATCTTTTCTTATTTTAGATAATATTAGATAAAAGACAAAAATTTGAGTTCAAAATGTTAAGTAGTGAAGGTCACTAGTAATGCCAATGAACCATTTGGTCTAGAATTTACTAAGAGATTGACCGTTGGTCAGTGGTTAAACGATGAAACACTAAAGTATTATTGAAGTTGACTTCTCTAAAAATCTCTAAAAAAATTCATCGTCACTATTTGATGTTTTGCTTCCACGATGAATTTCTAATATTTACGAATACTTAGGAAATCATAGCAAACATCGAATGCAAATATCCGTGGCAACATTGTTGAACCGAAAGATTAGAAAAGGTCAACTCTTGACCATAATGCCCAACCAAAATGTCCGAGTCAAATGCTTTGAAGCATTTGTGATAACTTTGGATTACAGAGTATGTTATTGCCTTATTTGTCCACTGTCTCAATCAATTGGACAAATTGTTGCACGGAAAATGCTTCTATAACTGACCAACTGTCAAAAACAGTTCGCCTATCCTCCAAAATGTTCGGGGTGTTTTTTTTTGCTACGATAGTGAGCAAAAATTTATTCCGTATTTAGCCTTACCTTTGGTCAATAAAGGTTTTCTTTTTTTTTTGGATCCATTTATAAAAATGGTTCAAAGTTCAAAGTTCAAAAACGCAATTGACTTATGCATTAAACTTTTCTGAGCGTAATTAACTAGTACATGTAGTAGACGATGATTGATGGAAGGTTTAATGTTTTTGTTTTTCAAAAAAAAAAATTAGGATGATAATGATGTAATCAATCTTTTTTTTTTTTTTAGGATCTCATGGAATCATTGTCATTACTCTGTTTACCAACACCTGAAGCAAATGCAATTTGGACAGTACGAATGATCAAGGGTTCTGATGTTGAAGTTATTACAGAAGCTGTATGAGCTTTCCAAATATTTTTAAAAATTTCCAATCAAGTATCACATTTTATGATAAGATTAGTAAATTTGATATCTGATCTTATCATTAGTCTTTTAACCTTCCTTATCATTAGTCTTTTAACCTTCCAAATGTTTTATCTTTTCTTTTATTTTAAATTTTTTCGAAATTTTTACAATTTTTTAATTGAATACACATTATCAATTGAAAATATAATTATACTCATATTTGATAAAAAAATTCGAATATTTCCATTTAAGTTTGAAATTAATTTCATTCATTCAGGATTTGGTATCATTTACAAAATCGGTTTTTCGATTAGCAATGCTTGAAAAATTAAAAAGTAGCAAAACATTTAATTGCGGCTTTCACTTAATTGATACAGCTCTACAAAATGTTGCTACTCATCGTTCACATGGAACATTTAAGGTAGTACTGTTTTTAAATTTATTATCATTAAATAATTAATATGAAATGGAATAAAAGGTAATGAAATCAAAATTTTAAATACTATTAAAATTGTCATATTGGTAATAAATGGACACATTATTAACTTTGTGATCAATTATAGGCATTGGACAAGGATGGCAATGGTTATATTTGCAAGTCTGATTTTGTCAACTTTTTTCAGGTTGATGTTTTAAATGCTATTCTCAAATAGTCCATCAAAGATCAATATAAATGCTAGGTATAAATGCTCTTTATTGGTCAGTTTGAATGGTCAGTTCATAATTTAAGAGTAGTATGAATGTAATAGTCTTTTTTTTTTTTCTTTTTTCAATCAATGTACTCAATTGCTCCATTTGCTTAAATTCAAATATTTACTAGGCTAATAGGTTAAAATTAATTTAATCGATAAAAAATTTAAAGATTAATCTTTCTAATTCGAAATGATTATTAATAAAATTGGTTAATTTTAAATGAAAATTCAATTTTCTTATTTTTCAGCAAAATGATTGTTTGGATCCAATTTTCATGAAATCATTCAAGCGCTTAAAAATACGGTAATATAGCGTAATTCGAAAAATGAAAATGATTTAATTTCGTGATTCATCACAAATATTATTGCTAGTAAGGGCGCAAATTTGGGATGAAAGAAGCAGGAAACGATTGAAAAAAGTGATATGTATTTTATATCTTTGTACAAATGCGCTTTTCAATTGTTATTAATAAAATGGAAAAAATTATTTTATGTATTTTAAAATTTAAAAAAAAAAAGTTTTATATGTTTGAAAATTAATCTGTCAATTAAATTACGGATAAAACGGGTCAAGTTGATTTCAGTTAAAAATATTTTCATTAATTGATATCTGCAAATGATCGCATTCCTGATCAGTATATTATAATCTATGAGAATGAAACGATAGAATGATATATTGACACGTTCTTCAAATTGTAAAAAAAAATTTTAACCATTTGAAGTAAAGCAGAAAATTTACAATTTCAAATTGAGGTTAAAATTCCGGAGTTAACTGATTAAAAAATTCATATTTTGAGAGAAGATTTAACAGCGAAGAAAAAAGCTGGTCATCAAAAAAAAAGTTAAAGTATAAATTTGAGAGGAAATCGGATGGTCTTTTAAGTGTAGAAATTTTCTTGATTCCTTGATATTAGCATATTGATCATTGGTTTTTCCCAATATTATTCTCGATGAATGTAATTTAATGTAGTCGAGAATTTACTGGTGAGATGTTTGGATGAAATAAATTCTTGGAAATAATTATGAATAAATGGTGAAAAATGTTGAAAGCTGGATAAAGTTGATCATTAAATCGGTTAACTAGAAAGATATGGACAAATATCCACTATTTTACGAATGCATACCACCTGTATGTGATCATTTTTTAATTATCAATCAAATTTCATTGATAAAAATGATTTTTCTACCACTTTTCCACTTTTTTTTTCTTTTAATTTTAAAAAGAAAACAAAAAAAAAAAAGATTCGGATTAATACTACGTTGAATGTATCAGAATAACTAATTTTAAAAGATATTAATCCTGTAGTAATGTAATAAATACTTCAGATGATTATTATATGGGTTATATATGAGAGATTATTCATTTCTCTCTTATTTTCTTCCATATGATATACATTTTGTTTCTTCTGAATGAATTTTTTTTTTTTACAAATAAACATTACATACAGGTAATTAAATGTCATCATACAGGTAATGAAATATTTCATTAACTAATATTTTCGCATTACTTTACTTTCACTTCACTTAAATATGAAATTAAATATGAAACTTCTTATTACTTACTATACTTTTTTTTTTTTTTTATTCACTTCCTACATTAATCTAATATCGTGAAAAAAAAAAAACGAGTAATCAGATAAAATATTTGGATTAAATTATTTTAAAATATGAAATATTGTACAAATGTAAAATAAACGTTCGGAAAAATTATAAGCGAAATATAAATATACATTATTTATACATTTTAACTGTACAATTCGATTAATTTAGTTGACAAATTATGAAAATAATGAGAAAAAAAAAAAAAAAAAAGCTATCAGTTATGAGAAAATGGAAAAAAAAAGAAAGAATTACATAAAATCATCCGGCATATTACCGTAAATAAGTCGTACATCACAATTAATTATTTTACATTTACATAATATTATAACGATCAATGGTACAAAATATAGCACAATACTCCATCGATAGAGCAGATAAGACCATAAATTATACAATGATATTTGTTGATTAATTTCCATTACTGAAATATATTATTTAATTAATTAGAGGTATTAAAATATGATTAATTAATTAAATTCAATAGCACTATTCCGGTATATTTACAAACTATTTCATGTCAGAATTTTTGGTACAAAATTTAATAATTTACAACAATTTTATCCTCTTTCTCATTCTTATACCTGAAATATTTAATCTGAATTTTCAGTTTAAATTTTTTCAACCTTTCTCCTATTTTATTAGTAATAATTAATGAAAATAATTTGTAAGGAATGCATTTATATTCAATGTATATGCAAATAAATCATAAAATTTCATAGAAAAATTAAAATAATTGAAAAATAAAATAAAAAAAAAAAATAACCGGAAACAGAATGACTCGGAATTACATTATTGATTTCCGGATTTGGAAATAGAACTGAAGTAGCTGCATAGTTGCATTTATCAGCATCATCATTACAAAATGGTTGTATACGATTTATATCATTCGTATACAACATATCACTGCTTATCACAGGTAGCAATAACGATAACGTAAAGCATCGAAACATCGCATCTGGA